TCACTGGGTATGTTGTGTAGCATATAACATCTGGAAATAAAATGCCGCCACGGCAACAGACGTGAAAGAAGGTGACAATTGTTGACCAATGACCAGTTTACACCTCGACATTCACAACTGGCCGAGTTGTGCATTTTTTTCTTGGCCGAGTTGAAATCTGGCCGAGTTCGGTTGTATTCCTCTCAGGAGCCGAGGAATTAGGTGTTTTTTAGGTGATGGGATGATATAGACGGAGTAACTGGCGCTAAATTAGTGCAAGCCACGCCCAGGTCAAACCTCATACTTGTGATTTCCATTCAAAGAGCGCATTGGATTGTAGGAAAATCATTGTTTTTCAACACAAATGTCGCACACGCGCAGCGCGACGACCACCGCCCTTTAACTATTTTTTATTTTATTTTATTTCATTTATTTTTAGTTTTTTGCTAGTCCTGGAATATATATTTTCCCCTAACAACAACATCCCCCTCCCAAAAAAATCCTCAAATTCCCTCAGATTTTAGTGTCTCATTCCTAACCCATAAGATGGAAATAATGTTACCAAAAGAAACTTCCGAAAGTTTTCCTTTTTCACGAAATACTGCCCTCAAGCGGAATGTTTTTGTTGTACCTGAAATAAAGGTGACACGATGACCTGCGTAATGGTCCGCGGTTCAGTGGTCGGCATATTTCTTAACCACGTCGCCACACCCTACAAAGGTGGAGCTTGGCTGCTTGAAGTCCTCACTATTCTTAGTTTTTTCTAAAGCCGGGCCTTCGGTCATGTTTTAGGCGATCGCCACTCCGACATAACGATGACTTTTCAATTTCACCAGGCGGCAAAAGACGGGTATTTAGACTTGTTGCGGGACGCTACCAAGAAGGACTGTAACCGCGTCGATGAAGATGGCCGAACTCCAACCTTGTATGCGGCTTTTTACGGTAACATCGACGCTCTGCGACTGATCGTGAGTCGTGGGTAAGTACTTATATTAAGTATCGGGGTTTATAAATTACTCAGGGAATTTTAATGTGGTAAATTATTGCTGTGGCGACAACTTACACGAATGTTTTCATTGTAAAACCTGCACAGTGCTTCTACACTATAGTGCCAACCAGTGCGTACCCCGGTATCGACTGCCTGGCCGTTATCACGTCCTATCATTCGTTAATCAATGGCCAATTTTGCAATAAGAAGCTGCATATGGTTTTTGAAATACCGGTAGAAATAAAGCTAAAACAAGCTTCACAGAGGAGAGCTGTCACGAAACCTTAGGTAAATCCGATGAAAATAACAAAATGCAATGTCCTTGACTTGACTGTTTGCTGGACGCTATTTTTATTTCAGTCATTCCTTTTTACGTAAGTCATTAACTTTTACCTTATTATCAACTCGCCTATGCCAACGAGACCATAACGTTTGTGAGTTGGACATTCACATTCGACACTCCATAAAAAAGTATTTGTGTATCAAACGAGCATGCATATACAAATGTACTAGTATTATAATAGCCAAAGCTAATTATGCTAATTAGCTGCATTAACTGACTTGATATAAATAAAAAAACCTCTGCAGCTGCTTTGCGTAAAATTGACAAAGAAAGTAGTAGGACATGAAATTGACAGATTATCTGTCAACAAGTACATGCACTATGTAGAAATATTGTAAATTGAATAAATATTGAATTCTTCCCCCTTGAATGCAGTGATCTTCCCAGACATTGGCCAAACTTCTAAAATAATAATAGAACATATTTACATACCCTAATTCTTGTTAAAAATTAGAAGATATCTTCAGACGTTTATTAGTGGCTTCAAGATTAAACAGGGGGTGGGGCATCATGATCCATGACACTTGATTTTTAGTGTTATTAGATCAACAGTGTACTCAAAAAAAGATAAATTGTTATTATTTTTTTTCATGTACTTTCCTAAATCTGTATAGAAACCACCAAAACCGTACTTCTGTTAACCCTTTGCTAGTTCTCAATGGCAAATTTTAATTAGATTTGGCTAGAATAAATTGTCACTTTCGCCATCATTGGCTAAGAGTAATTTCTACGAAAATTTTCAACATTTAAAAATATGTTATCACCCAGAAACATGTAAATTACATATCAGGAAAACATATTGCTTGACAGAAAGTATACATTACATTTAAATTTTTTGACAAATTCGTGATTTTTCATTTCTTTCCAATTGTGAAGTCGCTAATCCATCTTGAGATTGGCTAAGGAAAGAAATGCAAGTATTTGGCAATGTGAATAAAACTATTTCATCCTGAGCTTGAAGACAAGCACAATTACACATGTACATTTTTAATGATGTTGTCTTATGTAATTTTTGATTTTTAATTTGAAAAATACTGTTACCAGTATTCTGAATTATGGCATTGACCTACTTTGTAAATAACATCTTCAAAATTTAAGGAGGTATTCTAATCTCTGTGCTTGAAACACAACAAGCTTATTTTGAAATGAGCTACCAGAGTTACCATCAGTAGAAACAAAAATGTAACTGCTTGGTTTAGATGCCACTACGGTAGCTGATGTCCTAATTTGTAAATAACATAGGCGATCATAATCCCAATGACAGTTTAAAATGTAAGTGTATTTATAAATGTCGACTTGTATATATACTGGTGGGCATATTTCTGTAATAATGCAACTATTGTATTCTATTTAACGTTTAGACAAAGAACACTATCAAATTTGTTTCACTAATGACTGGGCAATCAATCACACTAACAACACAAATTGTTTGAACGGTGTGTATAAACCATACTGTGAAATGCGGTTGTGTTATCTGTAGAGATACTGAAAACTGTTTTTTACGATAGTACGTTAATTAATAAGACATTTTATTTGTATAATTTTAATATCAGGGTCACAAAGCATTCATATTTGTAACCTTTCAACCTTGGGTCATTACTTTTAATATCATAAATGTCATGAGTGTTGTAATAAGATTATGATGATTTATGCATCATACATTTTTTTTTATTTCATACTCTTAGCATGTATTTCATCATCAGTTTTTCATTTTGTAACATAGAAAGGCACATCGTACTATTTTCCAAACCTAACAAGGTCTTCATTGTCAACTAATTAGTCATAGAAGGCATGGGAAAAGTTGACACAAGCATAGAGGCTATGTTCATTTGTGTTGATAAATACAGTCAGTTAGGGAATTCAATTACTGAAAAACACTTTGAAAAATTTGCATGCCATTTTATCGATTTTGAATTAGCAAAATACAAATTAGTTAAAATAACTTATTAGCTAAAAAAGTCATGTTTTTCAGTATTTAATACATAACTCGCATATTTGCGCTAGGGCAGGCTCTATGAAGTCAGTGAAAATTTCTCAGATCAAGCGTAGATTGTAGAGGTAATGAAATGAAAAATCCTGTAGTGGTATAGGTTGTGTCATATGTTTTGTAATTGATGCTTGAGACAATTTACCTACAGGGATTAGGTACGTGCATGTGTTTGCTGATCACCCCAGCAGTGAAAATTAATTACAATACAATTTGCTCAGTACTACGGTAACTCCAAATTGTAGATAACCATATTTTCCCTTACAGAATACCATATATGCTCTATTAGTAGAGCTTCTCCAATAGAAGCACAAATAAAACAAAAATCACATTTGTTTTACCGTATACTAAATTAATAATTTAAAAATATTGCTTCTTATTACCATAGAAACTACTACTTATGTAATTTATATGTGTGTTTATAGTCAAAATAAGATTAATGATCCAACTTATACAATAAAGGCAGTTTTGTTTTCGTGTGGATGTGCATTAGAGATTCTCTTCTCATGGAGCAATTACGGTACGGTCTGGTTTATTGTAGAGAAGAATTTTTATAACCAATGAGTCAAATTGAAGGATTATTTTTTTATTCTCTTTTTATCTGTGAAATATTTTCACTGATGTATGATGTGATATCTTGATGTCAATCACCGGCATATCCACATCGACACAGCTGATTTCTGCATCCTAAATTCTTAGCTTTAGTAGTCATGAGTTTATCAGATTACCCGGTAACGTAGTGGTTGTTGATTTGGATTTGTGATCAGTAGGGTCAAAGATCTAATCCTACCCAGGGTCGGCAAAAAAGATTGATTGATTGATTGACCTGTACCCTGTGTGAGTGTGTGACACATTAGATTTAGTTTTGAATCCAATATGTTCATTTATTCATTTGTTATTTGGGAGAACCTAAGTTATAGCCTGGATGTAGGTACTGGTTTTGATCTTGATCAGATAGAATTCACCATGGAGTGTATGTTATTGTTCTAATAATGGTCCTCAAAAAGTGTGACGCTCCATGAATGTTATGTTATAGACCAGGTATATTTTTGTATATTTGATGAGATTTATTTATTGATTTGATTTAATTTAATGCTTGGAGTGATTGTCTTGCTCAAAAAAAAAAACATGGCTGGTCTGTCATTGATAAGGTTTAAAATGGCTGCCAGATAGCCATAATCGATGAACACATGCTGTTCAGGTGTTTGTACAAATTAGTCAGATTCGTTAAGGTATGTCTGAATAATAGAAATGCATGGACAGACAGACAGATGGACAGACAGACAGACGGATGGGTAGAAAGTCAGGCTGACTGTAGCTGAAGGTCATGTGAATGTTTTCAACAAGTTACAAGTCACTGAGAGGGAAGGAAGTTAGTTGGTTCAAAATAAAAGAACTATTGTTGCTGCGTGTGTATTCATGGGTGGTGTTTCTGTTGTGATTTAAAAAAATGTTCCGTTTCAATGCCTACCCCGCAGGAATGTGCTACCTGAATATCGCCATGGTGAATTGAAGGCTTTCATTTCCAGTACTGCCAGCTGTGACCCAGATATTGTCCTCAGCTGGGGGAAGTACAATTGTTGAAAACATGTAATAATTATTATAATCTTAATTATGAAATAATCAATAAATTCAAAAGTCAAAAAATAATATCACACCTGTGCTTGGCAAAATGATTCCCAACAGGATTACTATTGCACTAGACTACAGATAATGTAACAAAATATATTATTTAGTGTCAAATAAAATATACTAAACTATACTATACTGTGCATCATGAAAAAAATGTATAATCTAAAAATATTTTGTTTTGTTTATTTTTTAATTAATAGAATTGCACCCATGTGTAGTTACATTTTAATACTTGTTCCGTTGATTTTTTTGCTGGTTGTGTAATTTGAGAACAACTAGCAATAAAATCTCTGTAGTCAAACTAATTTTGAAGTGGGTCTACAAGCACTAGCACATAATATCTAGTAGTTTGTAAGAATTAAGGTCACTAGACATTTTATGATCCTGGTTTAAATTTAATAAAAATGTTACAGATAAATGGAATTATCGGGAATGGAATAGTGATGAGCATTGGTGGAGTAATTTACGTCAAAAGTGTTTAGGAAAATGTACATTTAGTTTATCAAAGTTACTGTCAAGTGTGTACAAGGTGTGCTTGGTATATGCTCAGGAATTTAAAGTGTAAAATTCATCAACAAATATTCATCATGATGGCAGATAAGGTTGAGGTGATTTGAAAACTGTCATCTGATATGGCTTTGAAATAACCCAGATATAGGCTGCAATAAAGGACTTTATTTACATTGCAAGTGATCCACTAACTTCCTCGCATTTATAAAAGAGTGGTCTCAAACTATCAATAAATGTTATAAAGTTGTTTCTTCAACATCATGAGTTGTTAATTTACCATTTTTACTTAAAGGGCGGTGGTTGTCGCGCCACATCATGTTCGATATTGGACCCATAGCGACGTATACAACGCAAGTAAAATACATTGTTGTTTACATTAAATTTGAACACGTGCTGTGCAATGACTTCCGCCCTTTAATCATGTCAATTCTACAAAGGGAATTTAAATTTAGCTGGTTTTTAGAAAGAATTATACCAGACAATAATAGTCTTGTTCTGATTGAGACAGTTTTAAATATC